ATTACTTTCCACATTCTAATCTCAAATTCCATACATCGTGACACTTGGCCATACATGTTCCATGAGAGGTTTCTTCCTCAGGATTATGTAAGATGGGAAATCTCTGAACTCAAAAGCCATACCACGGTGAGTTTATTACAGCAGGCACGTATGCACAGGGGAAAAGCTCAGTCTTCCTAATGGGTCAAACATGGGGGGCGACAGGGATACAAACATCCTATGTCCCAAAGCCTCGTCCTGTTCCTGCTTTTCCTTCAGTCAGGTCCAGATCACCTCATTAGGAAAATGACTTACAGCTCAGTGGTGCATTGCTGGGGTTTTATTTTTTTTTTTTTTTTTTTTTTTTTTTTTTTTTTTTTTTTTTTTTTGTACTGGGGATTGAACTCTGGTCCTTATGCTTATGAGGCAAGCAATGGAACCTCTGAGCTAAATCCCTGGCTGTGGGGCTATAATCTTTTAAAATATATTTTATTATATAAACCTTAAAATTTTTAAAGGACAAATGTAAGTAGTATATCCTACCTCTTAGAATAATATGTAGCAGACACTTAGTGTATTGTTATTCTACAAGTTGCATGTAAATTTAGCCATATGAAATTGCCAATAATAATTGACATCCCTTCTTTTTTTATCTATAAGAATTTTATGTGATTTAATCTAATTTTTTGTTATTTAACCTAATTTTAACATCAGAATGTGAAAGTTGGATCATGTTTGTAAGTTAGCAGTTACTTTTTATACCATTCTGTTTAAAAGCATTTCTGACAAGTGGGCTATCAGAAACTTAATTGATCAGTTATCAGAGAAGGGGACCTTAAGGGAGAGATGATTATAATGATGTTTAGCTTAAATATGTAAAGTTTTTCTTGTTTGTAGTTTTCCAGTCTAACATTTCTTTTTGACTATTTCCTGAAGTGAAATATTGGAGTTTGGGTTATTATATATGTTTTCGTATATTTCTATGAATAATGCATGAGAATGTTGAAATGTTCATTCAAGAGTATTTGTTTATTGATCAATTGGGGAAATACAGTTTTACTAACAATGTAACCAGCATTTTGTTTGTAATCAGTGTGCTTTAGGTATATTTATATACACATATGTATGTATCTTTACAGAACATTTATTTTTTTAAAAGGATAGCAGTGATAAATGTGTTTAACTTGTGTGTACTTTCTTTCTGAAGTAATACAGTTTTCTTTGTTTTTAGTGCCACCATGGCAACTGCACCATACAACTACTCTTACATCTTTAAATATATTATTATTGGTAAGTTTGTTTAACTTACACTCTTGTTCTCCAAGAACGTTGACATACAGAACATTTACATACTGATACTGAAACATAACCTCTACAGAAGTGAGCTGTCTGTCTCACTTTGGAACTAAACTTTGTTAAGGATAAGTGTACCTTTTGCATTGTGGCCCTGGATACTTCTGTGGTATAGTGCTGGGTTAATAATGGAAATGAGGTTAATTTCTTAGTAGGACTAATAACATATTCCAAAAATACTCTAAAAATGTACCAGAATTGGTAAAGAACGTTGTTTGATTCAAAATGTACATGTAATATAGTATTGTATAGTATACATAAAATTATTGGTATATTTCCCCTTAAGTTTCAAGAAGGTTCTGCTTATACTAAGTCTTGATGCTGTTTATCCATGCACAGTTGTAAGATTACAGTTGAAAGGGCCAGGAATTTAGCTCAGTGGCACCGCGCCTACCTCACAAGTGCAAGGTCCTGAGTTCCATCCCTGGTACTGGAAAAAAAAGAGAGATTACAGCTTACAGTCCAAATGCTTTTCAATGAATTCTTCAAATTGCAGCAATTTGCTCTAATGTTAAATATATGAAATTCTGTAATACTTTAGGCTTTTATTTTGATTTGTTTCTATGTAATATAAATTATTTTCTTCTATGAAATTCTACAAAAAAATACAAAAATTGAGAGGCAAGACAGAAGACCTAATGAGTCAAGCTTCAAAAATTCAGTTATTTTTGGGTGTCATATGCTACCTTGTTACTCTTTTCCTCTGTGCATGGGTGAAGAGGAGGAATTCATAAAACTTTGAAATAGCTTAAAATTTTAAAAAAAAGTATGCCAGAAACTTTTTCTTTTCCTCCAAAACTTTTGATATGGTAAGGGAAATAGCAATCATTGCATATAAAATTGAGAAATTTAATTGCCACTTCATACTTTTTTTTAAACAGGGGACATGGGAGTAGGAAAATCTTGCTTGCTTCATCAGTTTACAGAAAAAAAATGTAAGTTCAATATGTGAGGTAAAACAGTAGCTTTCTTTATTGTCACATTTTGATTTTTTAAACATTTTCATTTTTTTATGCATTTAAATATAGTCTTTTCCTATATTTGCACTTTTGCCCTAGGCACCATAATTTTTTAAATAGGTACAGATGAAATGAAATATTATGACTGGCATTTTAGACTGTTGACTTATGTGTGATATATAATCTGATTCACTTGTTGAAATTTTATAATGATAAAAACAGTGAATTTTTTAAATGTATGCGATAATGTCAAATTTAAATGTTTTATTACTCTTTCGTTTGTTACAGAAATTGATTATCTCATTGTAGGGCATTTGCTGCATATATAATTTGTTAACTCAGATGTATTTTTCTATGTTCAAGACCTGTTAAAATTCAGAGTACAACTTTTGCCTTGGGTGGCAGAGTAAGAGACCAATTTATAGTAACTGATACGCTAAATATACTTGAAGTTGTTTCTCTGTTGTTAAAATTATTTCTATGGCAGTTTTGTGCTGCTTACCATAGAGTTGTTTCTTTTTTATATACCAGGAATTGAACTCAGGGCCTTGTGCTTGCCAGTCAGGTGCTGTGCTGTTGAGCTATATTTCGGGCCTGTCATAGAGTTTGTGTATTATACCAGAGAATAGTAAATTTAGGTTTTGAGTAACCTAATTATAAGGAAAAGATACTCGTTCTATTGGTTTAGGCATATAGAAATTGTCATTTTATGATTGTAAGTATATATTAAATGTGACGATTTTCTTTGAAACTGATAATATTTTCAGGATAAAAATTTGTTTAACAACTCCTAGAGTCCTGAAACCATTGACTGACTTGTTATAGGTATTATCAGAAGACAGTATTATAGTGTTAATATTGTGAAGTTAATTAACATTTGCAGATTTTTTTATATCAAAGGTCAACAAACTCTATCCAGTGGGCTAAATCTGGTCATTGCCTGTTTTAATAAAGTTTTACTGGGACACAAGCTTATCTGTTTTATGTGTTGTCTACAGCTGTTTTGTGTTTCAGAGGAAGGTTTGAGTAGTTCTGACAGAGACCTTTTGGCCCACAAAAGTTAAAGTGTTTATCTTTTGGCTCTTTACAGAAGTTTTGCTAACCCTTACTCTAGTCCAGTCACATTTATTTCTCTGACCTCTAAATCTTCGCTGTGCCACCTCCCCAACTGGTGGAATTAGCCTCTAGCTTACAAATATTAGTATTGAACTCCACTAGTCTTAAGTTTTCTGAAAGGTGGGATTTTTTTTCCCCCATTCTTACAGTTATGGCTGATTGTCCTCACACAATTGGTGTTGAATTTGGTACAAGAATTATTGAAGTTAGTGGCCAAAAAATCAAACTGCAAATTTGGGATACAGCAGGACAAGAGCGGTTTAGAGCTGTTACACGAAGCTACTACAGAGGAGCTGCAGGTGCACTTATGGTGTATGATATCACTAGGTAAGAGGTGAATAACTTTTCAGCCTTTATACTTTACAATAGACATTTACATCTGGTTAATGTAGTTTCTTTTTAATTGATTTAGGCCTTTCTTAATTTGTAATTGGATGACTAAATTCCTTTGTAATTTAGCTTCTCTTAAGTTGCATTTATAATTCAGCTTCGTTAAGTTGCTGTGTAAAACAATATAACACGTTAATTTTCTTTTCTGAAAGTTAGTATGATTGAAGAAAAAATTTAGGAGATGGTGAATGGCACTATAGATGAACACAGTTCTGAAAAGCATCATCACTTGAACTGTTTGAGAAACTTAAATTGCCCAGGCCTCAGCCTCCTGAGTAGATGGGATTGCATAGGTGTACACCATGATGTGTGGCTATGACAAGTGATTTGTATGAAACTTTTTTTTTGTTGTTCACTTAAGTAGGAGGCAGTTTCTTGAGTCTGGTGTTTAGCATTAAAATTTCTTTCTGAAAATAAGGCCAGGCAAAGAATTAAATAATTTTTTTTTTTTAGACAGCATCTCACTATGTAGTTGAGACTGACCTGGGTGGAACTCACTATGTAGCTCAGGCTAGTCTCAAACTCACAGTGATCCTCATGCCTCAGCCTCTCGAGTGCTTGGATTACAGGTGTGAGCCACCATGCCCAGCTGGAATTAAGTAATTTTGTTAATTGGGCATAATAGACTATAAAGAGATCTTATGAAACACAGGACTTTTTAAAAAAACTTTAGTGGTGATTTATAGTAATACTTAAATTTTTAATTGTTCATTTGCTTAAATTCTTTTTTTGTCCTAACATGGATTGAAGTAATTTAAAATGCTACTTGCAGCAGGATTAAATTAATGTCACAATTGGGCTGGGGATTCAGCGCAGTGTCCCTCATAAGCACCAGGTTGAGTTCGATCCTGGGTACCGCAAAAAAAAAATTATGTCAACATGGCTATTTCTGGAAACTCAGAGCAGTTGATAAAAATTAACAAAACTGTACTATAAATGTTTGACTTTGGAAAACATGGAATATTGCCACTCCATTAGATTCTGTGCTGTTAAATAAACTTTCATATTGATGGAGAGCACAGTCAAAAGCAGCATGACTTTTTTTTTTGGATTTTTGAGACAGGGTCTCACTATGTAGTTGAGGCTGACCTGGAACTCACTATGTAGCCCAGGCTGGTCTCGAACTCACAGTGATCCTCCTGCCTCAGCCTCCCAAGTGCTGGGATTACAGGCGAGTGCCACCACGCCCGGCCAAAAGCAGCATGACTCTAGGGAGGTAGAGACAGGTGAGTGACACCAAGTGATAATTACTGTGAAGCATATTTCTATTTGGGAAATGCTTTGTACTTTTCCTCTCAAAAAGTCACAATGTACCTTAGCATGTTAGGATCCTGAGAAGTTACACATTCAGGAAACTCTTTATTGTTTGATGTTTCCTAAGTATTTTACTATGAGGAACCCACTTTGGGAAATGCTGCCTTAGAATAAAGATAGTGTCTTACTGTAATTATAGTACATAAAATCTCAGTACCTTCTAGAGCTGGGTGGCCTTAGCAAAACAGTGAGCCAAGCCTTACTGGTCTTCCCTGTAGCCAGGCAGTGGGCAACATGGAGTGAATGATACTGTAAGATGACTATTAAGGAACCTGACCATCTGTAAAGAACTGTCTTATAAATGAGTATGACATTCCTGAAGGCTCTGTGTAATTAAAAACCCCATACATTATTAATTTAAACATGATGATGTGTGCTTGAAATGTAATTTGGTTTTGCTTTTAAACATATCCTTTAGGCATAGTAAACACTTATGGTAAAATTTGTGTAATTCCACTTATGAAATACTCAGAATAGGTAAATGTAAAGGCAGAAAGAAGATTCCCAAGACATGGGGAATTATGCATATAGAGTTTCTCTCTTGGTCCTGTAAAATGTTCTAGAATTAGATAGTGGTGATTAATGCCCAACTTTGTGGATATGCTAAAAACTAAATTGTATACTTTAATATGGTAAGGTTTATATAGTATGATCATTATATCTCACTGTCGCTATTATTGAAAAAGGTACCTAGGCTATAAAGGTACCTTGAGCTGTACTTTAGGTGCCTTTTTTTTTAAAGGTGCCTTTTTTATTTTGACACTTTATAGTATTATTGTCACTCTGTGATTGTATTGACATTGATATTGGGGTCATGGTGCCATTTTTTCCCCCAGTTTTTTCTTTTGGCAGTCCTTGACATTTTGCAGATATGGTAGTTCCTGTTTCAGTAATAATTCTTATTTTTGATATTAACTATAATTGTTATAAGGATGCTTTTCTAAGTTGACAGCAAGCTTACCATGGCAATTTTTTGGCTAAATAAGTTTGATATATCTAATATCCACCCCAAAGTTAGGAATATTTTAGTACTCTTTTTTTCAGCACGAGTACTTCCAGTTAATGAATATTTGAATGACAACTGTATTGCCATAGATTTAAAGTTATAATTACGGTGAACTATAAACTAATAACAATTACCTGACTCATGGTAGAAGTAAAAGTACAGTACATGTAAATAATAATGTTTTATATGATCTTGATAATGCTAACAAAGGATGTGTAGGCTTTTCTTTTTACTAGAATGATGGTAGTTTATAATTCACCCCACTTCCTGTTTTGAAATTTTAATTCATCTCATTAAGTGTTTGGTCTTAACATTATACACAAAGAAAAACATTTTTGTTGTATGAAGTCACTGTCAACAAATATTGAACAGTGGTAAAAGCTTGTACTTTTATAAAATAAAATATTTGACCATTGTTTGCTTAGAAAATGTTAAAATGTTGGGGAAATAATGTGTGTGGCCTTTTTTTTCTTTTTACATTAAGGTGGGTAGTGACTTATGTACCGTATGATATAGTAACCCCCGCCATCTGAGTAGGGAACTCTTTGTTCACCACTGGAGAAAGATTAAATATTTGGAATAGTGAATATTATCTGAGCACTAGCAGCTGGAGAGCATAAAATATATTTGCAAGGCTAAACTAGAAACACTATGAGGAAAGGCTTTTAGGCCTTATTCTGATGTTTTAATTCTTTATGGGCTTCTGTTTACTTATTTTAAATGAACAAGATGGGTTAATGTTCTGTGGGTCTGCAAGTCAAACATTTTTAACTTCAGTTATCTTATTTTATCCCCTTTAGTAGATTTTACTCTGTGTAACATTGTACAGTGCAGACGTTCCTCAATTTAGTGATAGGTTTAGGTTCTGATGAACCAACCTATCATGAAGTAAAAAAATTACAAATTAAACTATCATAAGTTGGGGATCTTTGGTATTTGAGTTGGTTTGCTATTTTAGGGCTGATTGGGCAAATGAGCCAAATGAGTTTTTAAACTCTCCCTTAGAGAAAGGGGAGAAATAATGCCAGTCTGAATCCCCAAATGATTTTCACTGCCAGTAGAGTACAAAATTAAGATAAACTTTATTTTTTTTCAAATTAATTTTATTGGTACATTTAAGGTATACAATATAATGACATTCATCATTGGAAATTTGTGCCTTTACATAATCCATCTTAATTCTTATTTTTTCCCCATTCCCCTAGGATAAACTTTCTAATATGTAGCGACTTGAATTTCTAATCAAGTGTATCAAATGCCCTTTAAAGGCAGTTTTTATGCTTTGTAGTTAATCCTTTATTAAGGAAAGATGAATTATGTACCAGTTTACAGTGTGATTGTCTTGGTTTCTAATTGAAATTTGAAGGCAGATACAAAAATGTTTTCCATTGACTATGTCATTTGCTAGGCATTTTGATAGTGCTTGGTATATATTTTGTGATTGAAAATGTAGACAGTTTCAAGATCATTTTAATTTTCATTTCACATTGGAATTTTCTTGCTTATTTACTTCTGATACATTGTTAGCATAGCTGTTGGATATTGTTTATTTAAAAATGAATTTGGCTAGGATTTTGAAAATTGTTTGCATTTTTATACTGTTCTTCAGAGTAGTCAAATTTAAAAGAGTCTTAGGATCTACTTAAGCATATATTTTAAATATGTTTAACTAGTAATTGTGTGTGGAAGTCAGTAACTTTAAACTTTAACTTTTGCAGAAGAAGTACATATAACCATTTAAGCAGCTGGTTGACAGATGCAAGGAATCTCACCAATCCAAATACTGTAAGTTAAATAACATCTTAACTATATAGAAAATTTAAGGTACAAACTAACCCAAACAGGAAAGCCTTTTACTGGTGAGATTTTTGCATTTGACATTATGAATGAGAGGCTATTTTATTCTTAAATGAACTGAAGAAAACACTTTAGGTTTTATAGCCATTTTACCACTCCTGATTTTCATATTTTTGGGTTTATAGATAACATAAAGTAAAATGTTGAAAACACAAAAACTCAGTGTAGAGGGTCCATGGAGGAGTATAGTGAAAAAGTTAAAGCATATCCTTCCTGCTTCTTTTTACCTTTTGAAATCTCTAGATCATCAGGAGAAAAATCTCTTGACATCTTGTTCAAATACTATTGTCTTCAGACGGTTGCTATGTAGAAGCTACATATTTCTTATTTTATTGATGGTATTTTTTGTACCTTTGTATTACTAGTGTGCCATTTTTTGCATCCTCCTGAAGTACCTACATAAGGAATTGAGAAAGCAGTATTTTTCTTTTCCTTTCTCTTCCCACTTTTGTGTGTGTGTGTGTGTGTGTGTGTGTGTGTGGTGCTGGGGATTGAAACTGCGGCATGCTAACTACACATTCTACTTGTTCCAGCCCAGGAGGATTTCTTGCTTTGAGTGTCCTATTAGGCCATTGTCTCTTTACCAGACTGGATTCTAAAAATTTGATTTCTATTTAAGTGTCATTTTACTCTTCAAAAGACTAGCAGGCTATATGTAAACATTTCTTCCCCTTCTCAGTGGGCACTTGTTCATATTAATTGAAGAATTTTCACTTTTATTATACTATTTTGCAGAAAGTTCAGATGCAGATGTTTATTTAGTTCATTGGACACAAATTTTTGAGAGTGGAAAGCAAAGTGCTATAATTTCACATGAAAAAATGTAGTGGTGGAAACCTAGTCAAAGCCATTCTTTCATAATGTAGACATAATCTGTATTTATTGGCACAGGAAAGGAGTTGATGGTGTCCAAAATAAGCTTTATGTATAGATTCATGTATATAGTTTCCAGACCCAAGTAAAAGTTTAAAAAAAAATAAACTGTTGCCCAAGGCTACATACTTTTTTCTTAAAGTTTTGCAGGGCTGCCTTTAATTTTTTTTTTTTCTCGTTGAGTTTATTGGCACAGTTTAGGTATACACTGTAGTTACATTCATCACTGGGATCTTGTACCTTTACATGACAGGTCTTAATTTTGGTATAACTTCTAGTGTAGATAATTGCAGAAAGGATATAGGTGTGAAATGTTTTGCCCTGGATTTGGACCTGTTTCCTATGTGTCCCCCTCCCACATCGAGCAGCTACCTATAGATACACACACAGGTATTTGTTACTATTTGGTATAAATTTAGTCCTAAGAATAGTGTAGGGTGGGACAGTATTTGTAGGTCACAATTTGGGTTTTCTACCAAGGTTCTAATATTCTACCACTAACTTACTAGTTGGCTTTTGACAAGTCCCATTGCTTTATTTGAGCTTTAATTTTCTTACCCTGTATCCTGAAGGAGTTGAACTAGTGGTTTTTAATTTCTCAGGGGTTCCAGAATCTTTTTGAAAACCTGATGAAAATAATTTTCTTCCCTGGGGAATGTCCACGTTTATGATATTTTGTGCTTAACTTCATGGCATTCATATATTTCTTTACTCTTACTGAGAGAAATTATACTCTTGTTCTAGACCAGGTGTGAATTATGGCTTGTGGGATATGCTGGACCTACAGCCTGCTTTTGAATGCCTTGCAAGCTAAGAATGTTCTTACATTTGTAAGGGGTTGTAAACAACAACAGAAAACAAAAACAGCGGGAAAAAAAAAGGCAACAGAACATATGGGGTCCACAAACTGAAAACTATACTGTCTGTTCTGTGTAGAAAGTTGGTCAGCCCCTGGCCTAGGTGATTGCTAAGCTGCTTCTTAGTACCAATGCCCTTAGGATTCTAGTCCTGCCTGGTGGATAATTGCTAGTATTTGATTTCCTTTTTGGACCCAGTTTTTTCTGTCAAAGTATTGGATTTCAGAATTTGCATTGTTAGCTGGGCGTGGTGGCGCATGCCTATAATCCCAGCACTTGGGAGGCTGAGGCAGGAGGATCGCTATGAGTTCAAGACCAACCTGGGCTACATAGTGAGTTCCAGATCAGTCTCAACTACATAGTGAGACCCTGTCTCAAAAAAACCAAAAAAAAAAAAAAAAAATTTTTTTTTTTGCATTGTTAGTTTAAATGGTTCTTTTGGTTTTAAGATGTCTTTCTTTTGATTACAAATTAGGTAATAATTCTCATAGGAAATAAAGCAGATTTGGAGGCACAGAGAGATGTTACATATGAAGAAGCCAAACAATTTGCTGAAGAAAATGGTAGGTTTATTTTAATACTTGGCAGTCATACCTGGGAGAATTTCTGAGGAAGGGTAGAATTTTGATACTCCAGGTCTGACAATTTTGAAAAAAATGTAGAATGCTTAAAAAGTTCAAGAATGAGAAAGTGTGTTTCTGTTTCTGTGAAATTCATGTTAGTAATACAGTTATGTAAAACAAATACAAAGATGCCCTCCATCTCAATATCACATACTCTCATAAAATACTACGTTAAGAGTAGTGACAGCTGACGGAAACCTATTCAGATGTAACTGAAGAGAGCGCTCTGTTTGTTTGAAATGTCCTAATTAGCGTCTGAATTTTATTTTTAGGTTTATTGTTCCTTGAAGCAAGTGCAAAAACGTAAGTATAGCTGGAACATATATAGATCATGTTTCAGTTATATTCTGTTACTCAAAGTAGAACCCTATATATGTAAAAATGTACTATGTCTGTAATAGATACTATATGTGTGCTTACGCAGGAAGAATAGTAAGCAAAGATTCCTTTCTGTTTAACATTTCAATATAATGTGAATTTTTGTTACTTAAAATATTGTACTTTGATTATGCCCATTGATAACCAGGTTAATAAATGAAACTATGTCCACAGTGTTTGACGTTCACAACTGAAGTTGAGTTTGGCCTTTTGGGCTCAAGCTTGACTAACCTGTTCGTACATTTCTGATTATGTTAAAAAGCATGACTTGAGGAAATAGTGTCTAATTAGAAGCATAGTGAACATTTTCTAGTAGTTCTTCCCTATCCGTTACTGGACCCCTAATATTTCTGGTCATATTTCTTTATAGATTGAGACTTAAGTCCTTGCAGTGTGAGGGGAGGCTAACCTGTCTTTGTTTAGTCTTACACTGATGGTCCCAAGAGAACGGAAGTGTGAGCATGGCTAAGCATGACCGCGTCACCATCACGTGATGAGAACAGCACAGTTTATGCTTGGCTGATAAGATCCAGTTCTGGAATCCTGTGCCGCATGTTTAGAGACTATATTTCTTTTTGGAAAATGGCCTGTGTCACCTATCATAGTATATGTTAATGACTAGGACATAACATAATTATCCAGACAGGGTTTATAGAAACAGTTCTTAGTACTGTGTTCATAAGCTTTCCACCAAAATTTTCCCATGTTCCTCTCTTAGCTCAGTCTTCTGGTAATCTCTTATTAGATAACAGTGGCTAAGTTGAAGACATCATGGCAGTTGACTAAAGGTTAGCAAAAGGTCAGTGTGTAATGTCTTATTTTTTGCAGAAAACTGTGGTTCACGAGTAAAGTTATCATTTGCCTTTTAGGGGAGAGAATGTAGAAGATGCTTTTCTGGAGGCTGCCAAGAAAATCTATCAGAACATTCAGGATGGAAGCCTGGATCTGAATGCTGCTGAGTCTGGTGTACAACACAAACCCTCAGCCCCACAGGGAGGCCGGCTAACCAGTGAACCCCAACCCCAAAGAGAAGGCTGTGGCTGCTAGTGACCTCTTTGTTGTGGCCCCTCATTTGACCTTTCACCTCTATCTGTTGGAAGCAGTACTTTTTACTGCCTTGTTGTCTTCTGTACATCTTACTGGGTTTAATTAAAAAAGAAAAAAAGAAAAAGCTCTGTTGTAAAAACAGTTTAACACAATACTAAACTGCTAAACAACTAGATGTAATCAGGTTATCAAAGGCAAGTAGAGTAATAAATCTCTCCTGCATGGTAAATTTAGACTTTTTTTCCCCCTTGATTGTCCTTGTGATAGGTATGTCACCGATAATATGATTTAAACTGAGCACTGATGCTGGACTTGATGATTTTTACCTTCCCTCTTTTGCAAGGCTTTGTCTTACTGTACGGTTTAATTTGATATCTCCGGCCTTTCTTCTCATCTTTAACTGTACGAGTATGTCTGTTGTAGCCAATAAGTTCATTGCTGTGAAATGACTTCTGACGGTAGAGAATGGATTCTATAACTACTTCTGTTTTCGTTGGATAAATTCCATTGTGGGGTGGCATTTTTCTTCACATTTGCTTCTATCTTAGCCTTGCACAGGGAAAAATATCCATTTATCTTTTCTCTTGTGCTTAATTAATAGCTTTATTTTTTTTTACACCATTTTATCCTTTTCTCTTTAACAGAAAGTAAATATGTATAAAATTTGAAGGAACCGAACTAACAAAACATCTGTATATTATTTTAATGAAGAAAATAAATTGATTACTGGCATTGGGACAGTATAAAATACCAGTTTGTACAGTATGACCTATATGTGACCATGTTACTCCCTTTCATTTCACACAAGGAAATAGACACAACTGCAGCTCACAAGGAGTACCGTCTCCGCCCTTGGTGCTGGCAGTTTGAGGACGTGCTGGAAAGAGCTCCTAGCATCAGCAGATTAACACTAGCAGATTCTGTTCCATCTTTGCACTGTGGCTTACCTGCTGATTTTCTTAACTTTTCTTGTGCAATTGGCAATGTGCTAACCTGCTTTTCTCTTTTTGTAAACGTTTTGCATTACAGGCTGCATTCTTGCCTTACTGTATAGAAAAAGAAAAAAGGCTGGGTTTATTATTGCACATTTTAAGCTTTTATACCTTTATCTTCTTGGAATGGTCAGATTCTGAACCAGATAGCCAGAACCACATGTCAGCTGTTAAGGGATTTTAAATTGTGCATTTTTAACATTGTAGTGAAAAAATCCAGGGTTATCCCTTGTGTTGGTATGAGGGGCTGTTTTATGTCATGTTGGCATAAATCGTTTTGCAAAAGGGAAAGTGTTCTAATGGTGTTTCAGTGTTTGTGCTGATAAGTAAGTTACACTTTGCACTAGGTGGTTTGGCCACTGGAAGAATATGCATTGCAAGAGAATCTTGAGACCACAGACATTTGTTTACTAAGTTTTTGGGTTCGTTGATTTCTAATTGAGTGTATGGTTCAGTGGCTGGTAGTTGGGAAGTCACCTGAAGTATAGGACAGGTAAACCTAAGCGTATCAGTTCAACTGCTGTGTTTAAAATACACATTTAAAATCCCTCTTTACAGACACTAAAGTAAAATTACATCTCTCTGGGTTATAAACATGTAGTTCCAGAGTATTGTATAGTCAATGTTAAATAAAGCCAAAACTGGAATGTGCAGAAAATAGGATTTGGATGGTTTGTGGACTCATCTTTATTTTTGTCTTTAACTTTTTAAAAAATAAGATTCCTGGAGTAGATTGATATGTTCTTTTAAAAACTTACAGTGATCCATTTTGCTTACGCTGTTGCATCACTAGGGATCACCCAGGGACCATGACCTGCTGGTGTGTGTATATATTTACAAAACAAAACAAACAAACCACCTATTGGGACATAAGGTAGCAATCACAAACTGAAAACTTCGGCTTTAGGTGCAATACCCTGATTCCCAAAATTACAGTGGGTCTTATTGTTTTTGTGACAGAAGGATTTATTCAGACTGCTGTACTCTTCATTTGATGTAACAAAATGCTATTAATCTAAATATTTGTAAATAAAGTACCTGTATCTAGATTAAATTAAAACCGGTTGCATTATTTTCTGAACTACAGTAGGATTTGTTTTCTCAAGGTGAACAGTTATCTGGTGTGTCAGGTGGTTTTTGTTTTTGTTTTTTGTTTTTTTTTGCAGAACTGTGGTTATTCATGGTATGGAGAAAGGTCTATGTACATAGAAGAAAAAAAAACTACTGAGTAATTGAGCTAGTTTTGTTCTTGTATTTGCATTACCCTTGCAGTGTTTCCAGTCACTCTGCTTTAATTTGTGGTCCTCGCAATTTGTACCTGATAGTGTTCTCTCCCTTGACTATTTGGAGGCACATCCTACTATTTGCATGTGTAATCCCCTGTAATAAACTTGGGTGCTCAAAAATAGAGGAGCAGATCATCATATTGTAACTTGTGCCAGACACTAGGCAGAACATTTCAGAGAGAATGAAGTTCTCTTAACTTTTAACCCATGAACAGTTACTGCTTGTGTCATTGGTTCCTCTGGATCACTTGGCACGCGTCATTACTGCAAGGTCTCCGGTTAGTAATTGGCACTCGGTAATGTTGGTGCATGCCAGAAGAGTGTTCAAGTATTTTTCATAGATAATAAAGCGTTTGATACAGTAACCTTAATTGGAGGGGGGTATTGTTTTTTGGTATTCGAGGCTATAAAAAAGTTATTTCAAAAAAATTTTTTTTGAAATCAGGCATTTGGTTCCATATACTGTATTCATTAACTCACTTATTGCATAAAGTTTTTGAGAACCTTTTTGTTCATATATTTAGGTTTTGTTTTTTTTTTTTTTTTTTGGTACCGGGGATTAAACTCGGAACCTTGCACTTGAAGAGGCAGGCGGCAGAACCACTGAGCTAAATTCCCAGCCCTATCTAGTCTTTTTAAACAGATGAATTGTTCAGTTTACTCACCTGAAACAGAAGCAAAGACCAAATCCTTTGTGTTCTTGTTCATATGGGCATATAAAGGGTGTATGTGGCGGTTTAGAGAAGACATTTTACCCTTACTTAGCATAGGCCTGGGAAATTTTGTCCTTAACATCACTGTGAATAGGCCAGCACTTGAAGCTAAGATGTGAGAAAGTGAAATGAAGGCAAATATAAATATAAAAGACATGTTTTATTTTGGAAATAACATACTATACCAGTTATAAATTGTATGTCACTTCTTTAGTCTTATTGGGGGGGAGCTTTTTTGAGACAGGGTCTTGCTATATAGTTAAGGCTTGCTTTCAACTTGTGATCCTCCTGCCTCAGCCTGCTAAGTGCTGGGATTATAGGCATGTGCCACCACACCCAACCTACTTTTATAGTCTATCATAATTATCCTGTATTTTAATGGTTTAGTTCTAGCCACACAACTTTTTAGGGACATAAAAGTGGAGAGGGATTACTGTAGTGTGTCCCTGTGATATGTATAGTGCTGGTTATGGCTCAAAAGCAGTCCAGTGGCCTAGAAGACAGTTCTTGGGAATATTTCTGAACTTAGTCTATTACATAGTTGCCCCTTAGTAATTACTGTTTTGAAAGAAACAGATTATGGAGGTGATCCATGAAATATAATAGTCTGAATACTTTTAATATGAATTGATCACTGGGCAGTCTCCAAAGTACTAAGTATTCCTAATTTTCACTGAAGAGTTAATATTTTGGCCAAGGCAAAGCATGTGAAATACAAAGGTTTTATAATGAACACTAGGAAGTAAAATTACTTCAACGTCCAAGTAAAAGATGGAAAATCGACATGATTGTTATTTTCTAGGAATTAAGATAACTTGGTGGCTTTGCTACAGAATGATGTATGAAATATAAAGTCAGATGATAGATAAAATTGATTTTATCTTTATTTTCATACAAAAATAGATTTTTAAGTAGACTACAAAAATCTGATACTATAAATGAAGGGCTTTAAATTAATGACATTCTTTATCTTTGAAAATAGACAACAGTGTATAGATTCAAATAACAATCAGAATCAGCACTGGCTTTATTAAACAAATATCAATATTAAAAAAAGGCCGCCTAGATCCATGTTTTAAATTATATACAACTATTTCCATGCATAGAAACGACTTGTAAAAACCTTGGCATTAATGGTACAGACACAGTGAGCAGCTGTGGACTTTGAGCATCTTAATCTTGCTACAAACCCAGTGGCACTCCCATTAGAAGTTACTGAGGTGGTACAGAAGGTATTTCCTCAGATGCAGTGTAAGACAGTATTCTTCATCTTGGCCGAATCATTCTTTTTCTACATTAAGAAAGGTAGAGAAGGCAAATTAATACTGAGAACAGCTTTAACAAAGCTAAGTGAAGACAACAGCTGATACATTAAGTTACAGTGTGCTAGCTAGCTACCACTGAGCCACATCCCTCACTCCAGTTTTAAAATGAACCACAACAAAATGACAGAAAAGGTTATTTTCATAAGGCTTAGAATACAAGCTCTTCCAGCTCGGCGCCATCACGATCTCTAACATACCCGGTGAGCAGGAAGCTGGTGATGGCCTCAGTGTCAGTAACCGACTGGTGGTTCTGGCGCGCCATGCAGTACGTGGAAGGAGCTCTGAAAGGAAAGGAGATAAAATGCTGGGCTCAGCAGCATCCAGCTCCAACCTGATTCAGGCCTGGATGACAGTCACAGACTTGTAAACGGTGCTAAAAACCTCACCCCTACCCACTTGTCCTCCAGTATCTGTTACTTTGCCTCTGGATCTCCTGAACTCTTGTCACCTTCAGCTCCAAAACAGCTCTTTGTTGTCTTGGCTGCACAACCCGCTGTTACTCAGTATATATAACCCTGCTCCCAGGTACTTCCCAGGTGACATTTTAAACCCTTGAAGGGTTTTCTCTTACCTGACTTGGTCCAAGTTGAGAGTCCTCTCCAAGGGAAGACTCCAGCTGAGAAAGACTAGGTGATGACGCTGAATCTAGAGAGGTGCTGGTGACCAATTCCCCTAAAGCATCCACTTGTCTCCTCAAACTGTGTAAAGTGCCTTCGGTCTGCCGCTTTCCTTTGATTAATACTTCTGCTTGCTTGGACATACAGTGTCGAAGTTGGGCCTGAAAAACACCATGGTAACGAAAGTTTAAACAGAATCCGTGCACCAGAACCATTAACCAGCTTCTTCATATTTAACATCTGATGGGCAAATGTGACTCAAGACTGCTGAAAATGCTTCACTAAAAAATTGTTTTTTAAAAGGTACTAGAGATGCTAGAGGTACTAGGACAGATACTCTGTGTATATAAGCTTTAATCATTTGTGTTGTCATTAACTGGAAATTGTACTCAGGCCCATTCTCCCTACTATAACAGTGTTAGGATTTCTACATCCCCTCAGCAGCCACACCCCAAAGATGATGCTCAAGCTTTCTTTGCTAGTATTTCTGATCTTTCCCCCAACCACTGAGTTATGATGTCCTTGTTTTAGCAATGTGTCTCAATTTCCTGTCCCAAGTACTTGAGTCCTGTTAGTTTTAGGTGAGGTACAAAGCAGCATCACTAAAGAACACTGGACTTAACACCAGAATGTGTGTGTGTGTGTGTGTGTGTGTGTGTGTGTGTGTGTGTGTGTGGTACTGGGGATCAAAGCCAAGGTCCAAGTACCCTACCACCGAGCTACACTCTTAGCTCTAGAATTTATGATTTTGAACACTGACTGCCATTTACTAGCTATGTGATGTCAACCTCTGAGTTTCTGTCATGTGATCTATAAAACTGTTGCAGCAGAGTGTGAAAGCGGCCTTGAATATAAGAAATTTCCACATTCTCTCCATAGTGCTAAGTAGCTCATATTGTTTTGTTTTTTTAAAGGGCAACCTTGAGTCGGTCTTCACGGTGCCGCAGTTTCTCTCGCAGCGCTTCTCCACGCCAGTGCTCATCCTTTTACAGAAAGAAAAGGGAGACATCAATAAGTCACCAAGTAGCATCAATGGGAACCAACCAGCCTCCCTCTTACCCTGGCACCCCCCAAATCTGTTTTTAGCTTAACTTGGGGAAATGGGAACCAAAGTATCCTTTTATGAAGCCCACGGAAAAATCCTTACCATCATACGAACTTGGGAAAAGTTCAGTTTTTCTTCAAAAGGTCTGTCATTCACTGCAAATGGGAAGTTCTCTTTTAAGCTCTCCAATTCTTCTAGGTTTTCATTTCTTTCCAAAACAGCTGCTAGATCTGCTGGTAGTTCTGGAAGAAACTGATTGAGGTTCTTCAGGCTGGTTCTGATTTCATCTTTAACCTCACACTTAAGTGCCCTCATTGCATCACTGATTTCCATTTGTCTTCTTTCCAGATCTTTTTGGTTTGCCATCTAAATAGTAAGTTGGTGTCAAACACCATTAGTTCAGCTTTGGAACTTAACTGAAAAGTGAGCTGTTGATGAGTCCCACTCTCATTTCTAGTGTACACTACCAGTATGATTCAAGGCTATGGCAGCAAACCTTTTAGAGCTTTCAATGACAGAAACAGCTGATGTGGTTTACCACCAACTTAAGGCAAATCACATAAGTTCTCATCTTCTATCAGCTCACTTGGACATGGGAATATTACTTTCTGCTCAGAAGTACGATCTGAGAATTTCTATGAAGCACCTTAGTGGTACGTAGCTGGCAGCTTATCAAATGAAACCCCAAATAAGATAAGGACCATGAACTGACACAAGTCTTCAGTGACCTGGATTATAAATGTGAATGCTGGAAGGGACCAGTCAGATGCTTTCATTCTATAGGGAAGAATCTGGTGACCCGGGCAGCCTAGAGGCTTGCTAATGTGTCACAGGCTGGGTTTAGATTACTTTATGTGGCTCACCTCCTACAGCGATTTAGAAGACACGATATTCATATCTATATTCACATCTACTGAAGTGCTAATTGCCCTAGAGGCATCTAGAGTCAAGAGGCTTGTGGCCTTCAAACAACTTTTTAAAAAGACATTGTTTTAGGGCGGGGGATTTGGCTCAATGGCTCTGCCTACTGCCTCATAAACATAAGCACAAAGGCCTGAGTTCAATCCCTGGTACCCAGGAAAAGACATTGTTTTCTTGACTCAAAGGGTGGGGGGTGTGGGAGCACAAATGAAACTGAAAGGCCATGTGGGGTGGTCTTGCAAGGCTGACCCAGTGGCCACAGCAGCTCCCCTGGAGTGCAGGGACGGTCCAGATGCCAAACACTGGTGAAGGGACACCAGCAGCACCCTAAGCTAGAGACAGCACGAACTGCTTCTATGCTCTCTACCTGGTTACACTACATGATATCAAAGATTTCCCCAGGGCCATTTTTTCCTTGCCTTAGAGGTCTGGCTTCTATAGACCTATTTCTGACATAAAACTAAACATTTTAACATAGATCTCTCAGCCATGATTTCTTTCTGGTATTGGGGATTGAACCTGAGACATTCACACAGCTACATCTATAGCCCTTTTTTATTTTGAAACAGGATCTTCCTATAAATTGATACATTGCTCAGGCTGGGCTCAAACTTGGGAGTCCTCCTGCCTCAGCCTCCCACAGTGTTGGGATTATAGGCTGGTGGGGCAGGATAAATTTTTTTTGCTAAAATTATCATTTTTTTTTTCTTTTAAAATAAAAAAATTTTCTTGAACTTAAAAGCATATTTTAAAGCATTTTTATTCAGCAGGTATATGTATAATCTTTTTTTTTTTTGGTACAGGGGTTTGAACTCAGGACCTTGCACTTGCGAGGCACCACTGAGCTAAAATCCCTGGCAATATGTATAATCTTCTTAAGAATGAAAAAAATAGATTTAACTTAAATAACTTTTTTTTTGTGGGGAGGAGTTACTGGGGATTGAACCCAGTGCCCTGAACCACATCCCTAACCTTTTTCCATTTTTTATTTTGTTAAGTCACTAAGATGCCCCAGGTGGGTTCAAATTTGTGATCCTCCTGCCTCAGCTTCTCAGAGTGCTGGGATCACAGTACCACTCTGCCCAGCATTAATAAACATTCTTATATAATCAGCTTTTTCACCATTTCCATAAAGAAGTACTCCTAAAGGATATCTGAAAATAACAGAACCTGCCTGAGCCCTGGGGGATGAGTGCTCACTGACCACTCCTGCCCCATGCTGGCCGCAGGGCTCCCAGCACACACCTGTTTCTTGAGCTCCAGGTACTCATGCTGCATCTGGTTGAGCTCCTTCATCAGGCGCCTGGCCCGCTCATGGTTGTCTTGGGCTACCAGTTCGATTGTTGCCATTTCCTTCTGCATGCAGTTGTTTTCCTGTTTTTGCTCCTAGCGCAGAAGAGGAAAATGACCCTCTTATCTAACAGGTAGAGACTGTTGCTGAATTACATACTTCCTAGCTCTGTAACTTCATCTCCTGCCTGAGTCTTCGCTTTTCTAGCTATCTGCCCTTTGGCAATAGGTGCCACAGCTGAGAGTATATACATGCCAGATTCTTAGACCAAAGTCTGTCCTAGGTGGGAGCATGACCTCTGATAATAAGTTACTTTTCCTTTCTGAGCCTACAATGTCTGTAAAATGGGAACAATAATATCCATCATTATAGAATTATTTGGAGAATTAGTTTTAGACATCTACATTCTATCTTCACACTCATTTTCTCCATCACTAGTTGTAGAAACACATGTAGTTTACAGTGCCTTTTACCCAAGACTGTTAATCCCTCCAGACAGTGCTGGCAGAACCTACCCCGTGCCAGCCCACTGCTCACCTGCCTCTCCCCAGTTTATTTCAGATTAAAAGCATGGTACATTTAGCTTTCTGGTTTTAGGATAATGATTAAAGCTAATGCTGACTGAAAAGCCCAGAACGAGAAAACTTGAGGGCACTGCCTGTGGCTGTGGGAAGATGTCTACCACTCTCTCCAACCCCTCTGCACAGCGGAAGCTCAGTGAGCAGCGTGCACTCTCCGCTCTGTGTCGTCAGAACATCGCCCAGCCAGCAGCCACAGCACCTCTGGGACTGCAGCTGGGTCTTAGGCAAAACTTACAGTGGGCTTTGGAAACGAATTATGCAGAAATACACCACCACCAACAGGTGGGCTAAGAGCCAGACTGATGGGTGATCTGACTTTCTCTACAATGAAGTGGTGTTGCAGTTTAAAATTTAGTTATATTTTTGGTACCGGGGATCGAACTCAAGACCTTGTGCTTGTGAGGGAGACATGGGTGCCAGTGAGCCAAATCCCTGGCCCAGCAGTTGAAAATTTTAAATGTATTATTTCCTCAGAAACTGCTAGTACAGCTGGTACTCACAAGCAGGGTTTTCTCTAGCTGGCTCCGCTGGATCTTCAGTGCGTCCTTCAGGCTGGCCACCTGCTTCTCAGCTTTCTTTCTTTCAGTCAATAACTGGTTCCTCAGGAGGCTGAAGTCTGCCCTCATAGAGTCTGTCTCTTTCTGGAGAGCCAGCAGCTCACTTGACTTTTCCATTAATTGCTGCTCCCGCTCTGAAAGCTGCCGTTCTGAAACCAGCATTTTAGTGAGTCTGGCCAGAGGCCCTGGGATGGCAGTGGGAAGAGCATTCCTCCCTGTGCAGGCAGACTGAACTGGGGATGGCATCCACTGGGGAGCACCCATTCTGGTGCTTTCCTGCATAACCGAGTGTCACAAGCTAGAAGTACATGGTTCCCAGAGGGCCTGATCCTATGTGACAGACAGCAACTATCTTCCCTTCGAGTCTGTGAGGCCAAATACAGTCCCCACCCTGAGGTGCAGGGAACATAGAATGCTGAAATGTTCCCTATAAGGCTTGATTTTTTTTTTTTTTTTTTTTT